CTATGTGCGCTAGGCTCATTTTTTGCCACACCACTTGACCCAAGATAGTTCTTAGCAAAAGTGCAGTGACTTCAAGGTTAAATTTGTTTAAATCTAAGCCCAAAATCTTCGCCTTAGCATGTGGGCAGAAATTCATTACACAATTGCTAACATATATTTATTTACATATGTACATACATACATACATGTGTACATATCTATGAATGTACATTCAAATATTAATGTTTCTTCAGAAATATATTTCTTTGGTTTGAGTGAAAATAAAAACAAGCAGATGAAATGACGTCAAGAGAAATTTTCAAAAATGCTAGTAAACGTCAAAATTCTCAAAGCTGGCTCTCAGCGATTGTACCTTATAAATATTTTTATCATGGTATAAACTTTATGTACGCAGGTATGAAAAAAATCGTAACTTCTACAGTTTTGTGTTTCCATTCTCAAATTTTTACAGCTTACTCCATAAAGTTTGACAACTATTCAGGTTGAAAAAAATAAAAATCAAACATAAAGTTAATAAAAAATATAAAAAAATCGGACTTTTTAATGATTTTTAATGATTTTCTCCGACAAATAGTTTATTAACTGCAAACAATTAAAAAAAGATACTTCTCCGTGAGTTCAAAACTTCGGGATTTTTTTTCGAGATTTTCGATAATCATGACGAAATAAAAAAATAGGTGTCTTCCTTATTTCGACAAAGAATGTAAAAAAATATATTTCACCCCAAAAAAATATTGAGGTGTAAATACTGTATGGAATGACCCATATATGTACATATTTTTTAATATGACCTGAATTAGCTCCAAGCTTCAGCATTGATTCTGCATCTGCTTCCGATTCGTCTTCTGTTTTTGGCACTGGATCTTGTGTTATAGGGATATACAGCGGTTCATCACAATCTAATAGCCTTATGTCACCAAGACATTTGTCACGACCTTCTGGAGGATATTCCGTGCAGTCATAAAACTCATCTTCACCTTCATCCCCAGTTTCACTAGAAGCTTCCTCAAAACTGCAGTCATCTCTTTTATGCTCGTTGAAGTTCATGTTGGAATCAGGTTCACTTTTAGATTCCTCCATGTTGCCATATTTTCGAAACTTTGAACGCTCAATACAGTAGCTCAGCATTTGCAACTTTTGATTTAGCAAACAAGTACGGGTCTCAGGAAAACCGACGGCAACTCTAATTGAACAAGATGGAATTCATATATTTGTGTAAGGACTTTTCTACTCGAAATATGGAAATGGTAAATTTTTGAAAAATGATTTATGTACACCGAAAAAATTTAAAAGCGTACTTATTTAGAATAAAATTGGTTCAGGTAAAAGAAGAAAGGTCATATTCTTGAAAATTCGGTAAAAAAATTGTTCCTTTTAAATGACGAGTGGTTTTTTTGAAATCCAATATGGCGGACAAAGTTAAAAGAAATTATTGGATTCTGTAGAAAATTTTTCTTTTGATGTACTGTATCCACCATTTTGAATTTAAAAAATTCGTGCTCATATTCGTACACTGAGAAAAGAGTTTTTTTCTGAGTGTAATGACCGACCCCAAAAACTCCCGCGTAAGAAATTTCAAACGAATCCAATAATTAAAAAAAAATCAAAATCATATTCATAGTCAGCGACCACAAAAACTCCCAAGTAACAAATTTCAAGCGAATCCAATAATTTTTCGTTTTGGGGGAACCTCATAATTGTCTTCAACTAGTTGTTATGTGTGACATTCATTTAAAGGAACAGAATAATCGATTTTCAAAACTGCTACTTCCTCTGCATTTTACACCAAAAAATTTATATAAACAAATAAAAACTCAAAAATCGGGCTCTACCAAATCTAAATCTTATCGGCTGTCATTTAAAAATAGAAAATTAATCAGATCGGTATAAAACTTTGATTGCCTCAGTCGTTTCATCAAATAGACGTTTCTATTCGAAAATCGTGTTAACATATTAGTTTTAAATATAATTAACTCATATATTTTCAGTTAAATATACCTGCTTGCTAGCCGGTACTGGTTGCGCCTGTTGCTAGACTGTTTGCCAGATATTACCAGGAGCCTGCATGCGAGCGCTCAGCCTTCCCACTCCAAGTTGATCATCTTAAGAAACATATTTTTTTAATGAGCAAATCATGGGGTATATTTTGTTATAATAAAATTTACTTTTTAAGCGCATTTTTACCTTCCTCCCAATCCTTGGGACTGTACCAACGTATAAAGTCCCCCATTTTTCCTTTTGGATTTGCTGCTTTAAAGGTTTCCATATCGGAAAGCAGGGAAGAGCACATTTGCATACTGAAACCTGATTGATTAAAATAAATAAAATAAAGATGTTCGGACGAATTTATGTTTATAATGGGAAACTTATGGGTCACTCCATACAATATTTACATCTCAATATTTTTTTTTTTTGGGGTGAAATATATTTTTTTACATTCTTTACCGAAAAAAAGAAGACAACTATTCTTTTATTTGGTCATGATATTCGAAAATCCCGAAAAAAATTCCCGAAATTTTGAACTCACGGGGAAGTATCTTTTTTCAATTGTTTGCAGTTAATAAACTATTTGTCGAAGAAAATCAGTTAAGTTATCAAAATGTACGTAATTACCTTGGCTTTCCAAGAGAATGTGAGATAAATTAAAATAAAAAAAAAATTGCATTAAAAAATCGCATTTTTTATTTTTTATCTCTTTTATTAACTTCATCATGTTTGATTTTTATTTTTTTCAGCCTGAATAGTTGTCAAACTTTATGGAGTACGCTGTAAAAATTTGAGAATGGAAACACGAAAACTGTAGAAGTTACGAGTTGTTTCATACCTGCGTACATAAACATTAGTATAAACCATGATACAAATATTTAAAGGTAAAACCGCTCGCTCAATTCGTCCGCAATTGGGGTTTTTTTTGACGTTTGCTAGCATTTTGAGTTTACTCTTTCGAAATAATTCAAATGTCAAATAAATTCAAAATAAACAAGTGAAAATTTATAATTTGAAAATTTATTTATTCAAATGTGGGAAGAACTTAAAGTTTTATAGAAGGAAAATGAGATGCTGCTTTAGCGGCTGCGCTAATACCGTTTTTACCTGCAATCAAAGCAGTATAAAGTTCTTTCAAGTTCCCGCAATTACCGTGTGTACGCAAAACATGATCGAGGTTGGTGGTGTTAAGGCAGTGGATTTTCTCAAGTGCCTATGTGCGCTAGGCTCATTTTTTGCCACACCACTTGACCCAAGATAGTTCTTAGCAAAAGTGCAGTGACTTCAAGGTTAAATTTGTTTAAATCTAAGCCCAAAATCTTCGCCTTAGCATGTGGGCAGAAATTCATTACACAATTGCTAACATATATTTATTTACATATGTACATACATACATACATGTGTACATATCTATGAATGTACATTCAAATATTAATGTTTCTTCAGAAATATATTTCTTTGGTTTGAGTGAAAATAAAAACAAGCAGATGAAATGACGTCAAGAGAAATTTTCAAAAATGCTAGTAAACGTCAAAATTCTCAAAGCTGGCTCTCAGCGATTGTACCTTATAAATATTTTTATCATGGTATAAACTTTATGTACGCAGGT